ATGAGATTTCATGTCCTACTAAGAGTAAGAGGTCAATAAACAGCTTGTAAATGCTACAGCAAGCAGAGCTGAACTCCACCCTCTCAATCCCAGTCTCTACCTCCTCCTATTCATTGCCTAGTCAGAGGAACGACTTCTCACCATGTCTAGAGACAGCCACCAGATGGAGCTCTTTTACATTCTCTGCTTCTTACTCTCCTGATCAGGCTGTCCAAACTCCCCAATTCCAGCACCATGAAAGATCAACACTGATATTTATATTTTAACAGATGGAATTTAATGAGGAAATAAATGTACAGATTAGAAAGGTTTTCAACTCCACTAACACTCTTATTGATGAACACTTCTCATATATAATCTAAGGCCTCAACACCTTTCCTCCATCTCTGACTATCCAGACAATAAAATACTTTTTTCTTTTCTCGCTATGTAGACTAGGCTGGTCTATCTCACAGAAATTCGCCTGCTTCTGCCTCTGAGACCAAAGGTGCACCACCATGCCCAACTGAATAAAAAAATGTTAAAGAGTAGAGGACTAAGAGCATAGCTCAGAGGTGAAATATCTGCCTGTCATTTACAAAGCCCTGGATTCAATTCTGTCCCTCCCCCTCAAAAAGGTAGGCAGACAGAGTGTGGAATGAAAATGGCTAGGTGCAAGATCCAGTATCACCAATGTCCCTTATCATAGTCCAGCACCTTGTTTATGGTATGCACCTACTCGACCCCGCCCCCAGTCCAGCCCTAGTTTGTATGTTGAAAAGAATATAGCATGTTACTGAAACACTCTAAATCCAAAGCCAATCCAATCCAAAGCCATCAATTATCCAATCCAAAGCCATCAATTTTTTTACAAAAAAACATAATACAAAGTTATCTCTTGTTCTTTGTGTATAAATTCTAGCAAGCATAGTTCTTTGAGTGGAAAACCAGGTTAAAAAAAAAAGTGGTAGTTTATAGAAACAAAAAGATTTTAAATTTTTATCTATTTTTTATTTATTATGTATACAGGTATTTTGCCTGCATGTATGTAAGCACACTCATGTGTGCAATGTCCTTGGAGGAAAGAAGGCAGCATCACATTCCCCACTGAAGTTAGGGAGAATTGTTAGCAGCCACATGGGTGCTGGGAACGAAACCTGGGGTCCTCTGCAAGAGCAGTCAGTGCTCTTAACCACTAAACCATCTCTCCAGAGGCCCCACCCCAAAAGATTTTTGAACTAAAATCAAAATTTATTTAGATTTGGGAAACACAAAAGTAGACACTAAAGCCATATCCTCTAAGTATCTATCATAGTATCACACACATTAAAAGCTGGGATTGTGCTAGCTTCAAATTAACCTTTATCAGCGGTTTCCCTTCCTCAGCATCATCATGAAAATGGCAGGAAAACCAAGACTCCAAAAAAGAACAAACAACAAATATAAAATTCTCCAAGTTAGATTCCTAAAGGTGCCTCCATTTAAACAACAGAGGTGGGGGTGGGGGGTGTCCTCCTCTCTGTTCTCTAGAAATTCTTGGAGATTCCTGAAGCAGAAAAAAGAAAGGACCCTGGGTAAATGGGGTCTTGCACCTGCGCTAGCCTCAGAAGGAATAAGTATCCTTGTACCTGTTAATATATGGTTTGTTCCTTCCCAGTACATCCTGAAATCACTGTACAATAGCATAGAACACAAGCACAGGATGAACTTCAGCTAAAAAGGTACACAGATCTACACATTTCTATTCAAAATGAATAAACACCTTTATTTTTGTACTTCTGAGCATCAAGTTTTAGTTAGCTGAGAAACCTAACAGACTATATATTTATAACTGAGGTACTCATTACTAGAATTTAGTATTTGATAATTGAATCATTTTAAAGGAGGAAAAAGAAAAGCTCACCTAATTCTTCTCCACTATTATAATCATACTTATAAAGTTTAAAATCTTCTCCACCTGCAACAAGAAATTCCTTTTCAGGATGAAGCGATGCAGAATTGATAGTTGCAGGAGCTTCAAAGGATTTAATTGGCTCCAAACTAGGAAGAAAAAAACATGAAAAGTTTAAGTGTCTACAAAACTATTAATGTTAATATTAAATTATTCCTACATTCTGAAACTCAAGTAACAATTAAATATTCATTCAAAAAATGATGCTGTCAAAACCCAAACAAACTAACATGAGCAAAAGCTATTCACCTCAGGAACATGAAGATACTTCAACAGAGGGAAATCCAAACTCTGAGCAGTCAACGGGTCTTGAAAATCAGTGTCTTGGCTAATAATAATGCACTATGGGTAATATGTTGTTTTTGAGACATGATCTCTAGCCCAAACTGGTTAATCTCAAGATTATCCTGCCTTAACCTCTAAGGGCATGGGACTACAGGTGTATATTACCATGACTGGCTCAATTTTTGAAAGTTTTTGAAGAATTTTACTCAGTACTTTTAAAATTTTTTTCTGTAAGTGTACATTATCTTAGTAACTATGAAAAAGCTTATACAGAGCATGCATGGTGGTGCACACATGCACTATCAGCAACTCAGGAGGCTAAGACAGGAGGATGGAGTTAGAGCTCTCCCAGATCTGTGATTACTGAAGGTCAGTCTGTAAAAAGTCAAACCAAACCCTGTCTCAAGAAGCCAAAGGCTGGGGAAGCAGAACACTTGCTTAGTATCTACATGGAAGGTCTGAGGTTCAATTCCCAATGGTGAAAAACAGTTAAGTCTTGCATAGTGATGCCCACTTTTAATCTCAGCACTTTGGAGGCAGCAGGTGGATCTCTGTGAGTTCTAGACAAGCCAGTGCTGCACAGTAAACCCTGCTCTCCCATCCTACAAAAGCAGTAAATAAAAACATTAAATGAGATTCACAGTAGATAATTTCACATAAGAATTATTTGAATGTTTTCTCAATTGTAAATAGTCATGACTTATCTAGTGTTACAAAAGAGCAACTTCCTGTCTTAAATATTCAGATAGTCAACATGCCAGCAAATCTGTTACCCAAATGAGGCCTGAGGTACAGCAGGACTGCACTGTACCCAAATCCAAGAAGGAGCAGTAATAGTTATACAATTTGATCGTTCTAGGCAAAAGTACTCCATTATTAATTTACTGTATATATAGAAATTCCTTAAAATATTCTTAAAAACCTTTATCTCTTATTCAGTGAAACTTAGCTCTGCAAGCACTCTTAGAGACTATGTCCAGGTTTTGTTTTTTCCCCTAGTTGCTTCATAAAGATTAGATGTTTAGACATCAAAAAAAACAAAAATCCATCACATTGTATGCTAATCTAAAAAATTAACTTAAAAAACACCGTGGTCTGAGTGTAATGTAGCATAATCTTTACAGACATCATTAAGTAACAAGTATAAATAAGAACTTTAAACTCAATTCTGCCCCTTTGAACTGATACTGCACTTCAGGATTCTATTAAGAACAAAGATGCAGGTGAATGGGTAGGTTGGGGTACAGCCCCACCATATCCCAACCGAGATCCCCAATTATTAAATGGAGGCTAATTCTCCCTTGTTACCCCTCAAAAAGAAGATGAAAAAATTTCTTGGCATACCTTACTGCACTATGAAAAGCAATGGACCGCCCGTAAGTGATGACCAGGATCTCTCCCTCAGGAATATACTCCATACTGCTAACAGACATGTTAAAATTTAGAGATTTCACTTCTGTCATTGTAGCATGATCCCAAAGGCTGCAAAGAAAGAATAGAGCAATATTTAAAATATTTTACTTATTTTTTATGTGTATGAGTGTACTGCCTGCATGTATGTGAGTGCACCAATGTCATGTGCAAATGCCCGAAGAGGTCAGAAGAGAGCACTGGATTCCCTGGAACTGGAGTTACATCATTGTTAGCCATCATGTGGTGCTGGGACTCAAACCTGGGTCCTCTGTAAGAGTAGCCAGGGCTCTTAACTGCTGAGCCATCTCTCCAGCCCATACAGCAATATTTAATCAGAATCGTAGTAAAGCAATTTTTAACAAGCAATTACAAATCACAAATTAGATACAGAATTTTTGAGTTCCCTTGAAATGTCAAAACCTTTGGTATACTATTGGTAAAAGCAACTTTAATATACTTTGCACACAACTACACTAATAAAACACTTAAGCCCTAATATGTCCTCAGTCGCTATGTCCACAGATTACATTAAGAACACCAGCACAATTAATATCAGTCATTTTTCTTTTGAAGTCTACTCTATATACTTAACAGTTAATGGATAGCCCTAAATAAATGTAACCTGTGTCAACATAGATTTTAATGTTTAGACAAATTTTTCCCAAGTAACAGATATAAAAAGTAGTTATAAGTACTACGGTAAAATACTTTTCAAACTTTAAATTATCAATGAAAAATTAGCTTACCGAACAGTTTTATCATCAGCTGAAAGAATCTGTTTATCTTCACTGCACCATAAAGCCTTTTTAATACCAGAAGTGTGACCACTAATTTCCTTAGGTTCTACAAATGAGACAATTTAGAGTGGGTATTAAAATATTTGAGTTTCTGAACTGAGCAATATGGGAACATGTTAAATGTATACAAAGTATTATTAATTTTACTGCAACTTTTCAAACCCTAGCCCAATTCAAACTTGACTTTTATTAGATACATTTAGGTTTCCTATACTGGAACAATAATTTATCTGCATGACAAAGAATCTAAAAACAAACGAACCTTTCTACATGAAGCTGAGTGAACACTCATTCCCTTGAGTGTGGTTTTCTATACAGTTTAACTGTATTCAAAGGCATTATTATGCCACAATGTAACACAAATTAGTATGAGTAACTAGTGTGCTAAGGTAGTTAAGAACATCTGCAAATGGCTGACAACCATAAACATTAACATGTGGAAACTAAGAACCCTCACCACCTCACCCTCTACACATCACTCAAAAGGCAACAATGCTGTTCTGAATCTTAATAGAACTCAGCATCATGAAAAACAGTATCATAATATATTTTTAAATTACCAAAAAGCTAAATAATGTAAGTAAACCAACACTAAAATACAGCCTGCAGAGAAAACAATGACGGAGAGCAGATAATGGACTATGGGTCTCTTTCCAAAATGTTTACTTGTTTAATCAATTAAAGCTGTGTAAATTATAGGACGTATAAGCACAAACCAACACACAAACTGCGTTTACCTGCTTCAGGTTTGTTCAAGTCATATATGCGCAACAGTTTATCCTGGCCCCCAGTTAACAAATAATTGCTATCCTGAAAATGCAAAAAAGAAAACTGTTAATATATCAACCACTTTAATACTCATTTTCCCTTAGAAATGCTAAGTATTCAAATGTAACTACCAACAAAAAGATATAACCACAGTCAAGCACTGCTGTGAAGATGCTATCAAACAGCTGCCCTTCTCAAAGCTGCCGCGCTCAGGGTTCCCATGTCTTTTTTTTTTTTGGTCTATGAGTTCAAGGCCAGCCTGGTCTACGTAGTGAGTTCTGGGCCAGCTTGGGCTACAGGGAGACCCTGAATCAAAAAAAGACCAAAAAAAAAAAGGACCAGGGTTCCCATTTCAAATACATGGTACCATAGGACTCCTGCTCTGTCTAGATCCTGCCCACCCTCCTGAGGAGTACTTCTTTGATCTCACATTTATCTTCAACCTTCTGAGAAGAGAGAATGGTTATTTGAGCTTTTAAGGTACTTGTTGCTCATGTTGCAAGAGTTCTAGCGTTATCTAAAAGTTTTATGGGATTAGCCAAAAAAAAAATCAAGAATCAAATAAAAAATAATAACACAAACTAAACAAATATAAAACCACTATCAGGCTCCATACTAAAGAACAATCTAAACTTCTTAAATTTCATTTTATTTCCTCCTTTCCATTTTTTTATTATTTTTATTTTATGAGTATGTTGCCTGCATGTGTGTAAGTGTACCAGTGTCATGCACTTCTGGCGGAGGTCAGAAGAGGGCATCTGATCTTTTGGAACTGGAGTTAAGACAGTTGTTAACTGTCACATGGGTGCTGAAAACTGAATGCGGGTCCTCTGCAAGAGCAGCCAGTACTCTTAACCACTGAATCATCTCTCCAGCCCCCTTCCCTTTTGTACCTCACCAAGATGAGAACCCAGAGCCTGACTCACACTGTGTAAGCACTATACACACTGAGCCAAAACTCCACTTTCTCATACCTGTGTAAAATCCACACTCTTGACAATGTGCTTATGAGCCAGGGTCATCAGTTCATCTCCTGAGACAGCATCCCACACTTTGCTAAAAGTGAAAATAAACAAATAAATAAACAAACATAAATATACTGTAAGGTTAAAGATAATGGTGATTTTTGATTAGTACAAAATAATTTAGATAATCTTTACATAAATGTATTATGTTTCTCCCTGGTCTCTAAGATTCCTCTTTGTTAAGATATTTAGTTTGTTTCTATATAACTCTAAAGAAAAAAACCCAAATATTTCCATAAAACTTTTAAACTTCAATTTTCTTTGACAGTGAAAAAGGAAGAATTTAAGTAAGATTCAGAATTAGCCCAGCCCTTTCACCTTATAATAATCTTTTATTAAACCTCCAAAATATTTTAACCAATTTTCAGATCAAGCCATTTTTCCCTTATATACTCACATGCAAACGCAAAATATAGAGAACTTCTTAGTATGTGGCTTTGAAAATATACTACAAAGTTTGGACCCGGATACAGATCAGATAAAATCTAAAATCAAGATGGTGGAGGGCCAGGTGTTGGTAACTACAATCCCTTCACTCTTCGGAGGCTGAGACAGGAGAATTCTGAGTTCTAGGCTAGCCTGGATTACACAGTGACTGTCTCGAAACAATCAACGAATATCTTTTCTACATTTTACTCAATAAACATTATAAATAAACATCAAGCATCTTATGTTATTCTAGACTCAGTGTTAGGGGCCCAAATGGGAGTAAAAAAGTTCCTGGGGCTGGAGAGATGGCTCAGTGGTTAAGAGCACTGGCTGCTCCTGCAGGGGATTCAGGTTTGGTTCTCAGCACCCACATGAGAACAAACGTAACTTCAGTTCCAGGGAATCTGATGCTGTCTTCTGACCTCCATGGGTACTGCACAATATGTGTGCACTTACATGCATGCAGGCAATACACTCATACATATACAATTTTTAAAAAGGTCTTTAAATTTTTTAAAGATTCCTGCTTCAACAAAAGTTTAAATTGAGGAGAAAAATATGCATTAAAAAGCGTGCTCAATAAATACAACTAAGCTGGGTTGGCGGGTCACACCTGAAATCCCCAGCATTTGGGAAGATGAGGCAGGAGGATTTGTGGGAGTTCCAAGGCCAGTTGGGCTACAAAGTGAGTTTCAGATCAGTTTACGTGGCAAACACAGAAATAACTTTGTTTTTTTAAAAAGTGCTTATGGTTATGAACACACACACAATATCAGGAAAGTCCTGAGAATCCAAACAACAAAGCTAGCAGTCTTAAGGAGTACCAAAGGAACAAGAAATCAAGAGAATTCTAGATGAGCAGCATTAATCAGACGATACTGAAGACATATGAACTAATGACTCAACATCAAATCTTCAGAGTCTTGGAGTTCTATTGAGTGACTGACTACACCTCTTATTTTCTTATTCCCACTCCAGTCTCCTCTAGCGTAGTTTAAATCTCTGGCCCCAACCTAGTTTCCCAGCTTCATTTAGTTCTGATTTTTGTCACCCTAGATTACGAGCCATTCCTAAAAGCCATTTCTTTCCTTCCCACTCCTATGTCCCTATTCATATTAAGTCTGTACTTCTGTCATCAAAGTTCTACTCATTTCAAACGCTCCATTTCCGCTAAATCTGTCTTCACTCCCAACAATTAGCCATTTCTTTCTGTTCTTCCACAGAGCTCAGCTTACATCAATCACTGTGCTTTAACTTTTCTCCTTTTGTCCATATATGTTTATTCATAGTCATAGAGAAACTGGCCAGATAGGTATGGATCACAATGACTAGAATAGCAAGATATCAAGATTAGGCTGGAGAGAGGGTTCAGCAGTGAAGAGCACTGGCTGCTCTTGCAGAGGACGTGCTCAGTTCCCAGCACCCACATGGTGACTAACAAGTGTCCATAACTCCAGTTCCAGGGGTTCAGATGCCCTCTTCTGAGCTCTATGGGCACTGAGGGACTCATGGTCACTTACATGCAGGTAATACACTCATACACATAACATAAAAAAATAATTTTTTTAAAAAGGCATCAAGAGGTGAAGAAAATGACAGATGTCCCTGAAATGTCCATCCTAGTCATTTGCATAAATATCAATAGAATGCTAGGTAATTTATCATTTGAATCTTCTAAATTTTGTTTTGTTCTGGTGGTGGCATTGGGGGTTAAACCCAGATCCTTGCATGCTGAGCAAGCACCCCACCAGTGAGCTATGCCCAGCTCTATGTCCTTCCTTTGAAATGTTAATTTAAAGTATGCTTATCTTCCAAAAACTTAAAATCTTAAGATATTGCACAGAATACGTATCCTAGAGTGACCAAAGTAATATTAACCGCAGAGCTAATATACGGCACTGCTGCAATTAACTTTTACAGATAATGAAACTCACAAAGAGATGTTAAAAAGTATGTGAGGGAACATTTGAACCAGAACTCAAATACAGGTCACCTGCCTCTGTGTCATGCACTTAGTATCACTTATAGGTACAAACATAAGACTTAGAATGTCAAAGCATCAACAAAACAAAATGTAAATAAAGCAAACGACACTACCACAGGCATGCCCTCAAAGATGTAATTCTGTTCAGCTAGCAGCACTCTCCCCACACCTAAACAAAGGCTCCACAGCAGAAAAACTGAATCTCTCAACTGTTTTCACAGTCAGTTCATTTTTTTTCAATGTATATTTTTATTGAATTTTTACATTTCATACAATACATTCTGATCACATTTAGACCCTCTCCCCTCTCTGTACATCCTGAAATAGCCTGCCCACAGGAGTTCATGCATTCTGTCATATATGTTAAGGCCAATTGAGTAGTTTATATATCCAGAGGCCTCTCAGTGTGAGTTCATCCACTGGAGCCTGTTCAGCCTATCCAGTCACCCCCTTTAAAGAAGATCAACTCTCCATCCAGCAGTGACTGCTGTCAAAAGTTCCTTGGCAAAGGTTGGGCCTCCTGCCCATTTCCCCAGTTCTATGCTGGGTTTTTGTCTGGTTTGAGTTTGCATGGGTTCTGTGCATGCTGTTACCATTGCTCTAAGTTCATATGGGTAAGCTCCCAGAACCCTGGTTCTTAAGATCTTTCTGATAAACCCCTCTTCGGAAATGAACCATGAGCCCTGGGTGGGTGAGGTTTAATATAGGAGTCAACTCCATTTTCAGATGTGACATTTTCTCCCACCCCTTCTCTCCCCATTTCAAAGTAGTTATCACCTGAGCAGTAATTCCTATAATACTGCTTTTTATTTCTTTCCTTGAGGCCTGGGAATTAAATTTAGTCAAATTTTCAAAACAAGAATCATTATAGATTTAACCACGAATTTGGGCATCCTTCCTAACAAACTTTGCAGAGAAAAATCAGTGTAAGACCATACAGCCGCAAGTGACAAGACTGCTTAGTCATTAACACTGTCAAGACCAGGTAGCAGTAAAACTGAGGTTAGCAAAAATGTGTTCACTTAAAACACACTTCACTGTTAGCTCATCATCAAAAGATTGTGACCTAATTACCATAATGAAATTTGAGCTTTTTAAATTTTTTTGCGATAGAGTCTCACTATGCAGCCCACCTGGCCAGAACTTGTTATGTACTCCAGGCATGGCCTCCAATTTGGGATAATCTCCGGCCTCATTCTCCTAAATGTTGGGATTACAGGCACGCACTACCACACCAGGTCTACTTCCCAAGCTAGTGTGGTGGCACACACCTGTCAATCCTGGTTACCTGGAATACTGAGGTAGGACTACAAATTCACAGCCACCCTGGCTACATAATGAGCTGAGGAAAGTATGGGCAACTTAGCAAAAAACTTTAAAAGGCCTGAGGACATAGCTCAGTGGTACAATGTTCACCTGACATGCTTAAGGCTCTGCGTTCAATTTCCAGTCCAGAAAAACAAAACCCCCACCCATTTACCAAATATCTACAGTCTAGAGCTGAATATTAATCCAATTTTCTGCATCTATTATAAAATCAGTAAAATTCATCCCTAAGGCCATGTTCCTAATGAACTGAGTGAAAAATAAACTTTGGAGAGAAGGGGGGGAGGCAAACACAGAAATTAAAGGTACAAATGTTCCATAAGCAAAAATCAAGATCCGTACTTTGATCTCCTACTTTAGAAATTTTTCCAGGTCATTTACTTGGCAAACATAAAGCAGTGTCTAAACCAGGAATATAAAATATGAGCCTTAAGCAATGGCACATAAGTAAAAAAAAAAAAAAAAGTTATAAAAGTGCTGGCGTCTGCTCCACCCTCCTCACTTTGCATCAACTGCTTTGTGGCTACTTCAGGTTTTGTTGGTTGGTTAGCCCTGGCTGGCCTGGAATTCCTTTTACAGATCAGGCTGGCCTGGATCTCCTTATGAAGACCAGGTTGGCATGGAACTCACAGAGATCCGCCTGCCTCTGCCTTGAGTGCTGGGACTAAAGGCATGTGCCACCACAGCTGGCCCCTCTTCCATATATTAAAAAAAAAAAAATGTTTAAAGCTTTTATTTTTAACAGATTTTATTTCTTTTTATTACATGTGTATGAATGTTTTGCTTCCATGTATGTATATATACCATACGCATTGCCCACGGAGGCCAGAGAAGGTGCTGGATCCCCTGAAACTGAAGATACAGATGTGTTGCGACGCAGGTGCTAGGAACCGAGCCAAGAATGGCAAATGCTCTTAACTGCTGAGCCATCTCTCCAGCCCTGTAACTCTTCTCTGAGAAATACTTTTATTTGCTAATTTCACCTCTCTTAACTAACCATCAACAGTGCTTCAACAGGGCGGTGGTTGTAGCTCAGCTGGCTGGCTCACTCCTTGCCTAGCATGCACAAAGCCCTGGGTCTAATTCAGAGCAGGTAAGACAGGGTGTAGAGGCACTCAGCTCACCTCTAATCCCAGAACTCAAGAGGTGGAACAGGAGGACCAGAAATTCAAAGCCATCTTCAGCTACATAGCAACTAAGAGACCAGCCTGGGCTATATAAAATAGTGCTTTGTCATGTGAGTTAATATGCACCCTGACATCTAAAGCAAGTTTTGTCCAAAAAATACTGACATGGAAGGACATATAGCCACTGCTTCTTAGTATCAAATTCTTTTAACCAAGAAACCAAGGAGCTCACTTTTAATCTCCAGGCTCTTCAATCTATTACTACAGTCTATTCATGTACAGGAGCTGTTAGCACTGCCTTTGGCCTAGCGAGATGGCTCAAAGGGGAAAGATGCTTGTCACACAAACCTGACAACCTGAGTTTGATCCCTGGAACAAAAGTATACTGACTCCTGAAAGCTGTCCTCTGATCTCTACATGTGTGTCATGACACACACCTGCCCAAACACACAAATAATAAATAAAAAACGAAAATAACCAAAAACAGTTGCCTTCATTAGTTTAAACACTGGTGGGTACTACAAACATCAAAATTATTTAAGATACCACTCATGCCTCAAAAAAGCAAAGAGAACTCCAAGTCAGTTGGATAAAAGATGCAAAACTCAAAGTAAAAACATGTAAAGTACATTGTTCTGGCAACAGTAAGGTTAGCATGGTGTAACCTGTACAGTTTAGAGTCTGATATACTAAAGATATGCTGAACTAGGAGGGGCAGAAATGCAAAGGGGTCAACAACTGAATTCCTCCTCCATTAGGCCACTGGTTCAAAGACTGAACATTACCTAAGGGAAAAAAACCAACAACCCAATCAGAAGACACTTGAATATTTTAAAAGCTCTCCAGATTATGCTAATAATGTATACCCGAAGGTGATGATCAAACTTGCAACAGACAAGATCAGAGAAGTGATGTGATTTGTTTTAGGGATGACAAGTGACAGTGATATGACGCAGGAATTGCAGGGAAAGAAATTGTAGCCATGAGGAGCTAAATGTGACCCTAAATTTAGGCAGTGGCAGACACATGACGCACTGTCCAGATAGTTCACTGATAGAACTAACCAGCCAATAACACACATCTAAGGAAAATTAAGAATCATTTAGATTTTAATCTTTAAAACCACAGGAAATAAAGAATAGCTAAGTGTGGGGGCTGGAGATAGCTCAGCAGTTATGAGCACTGGCTGAGCTTCCAGAAGACCTGGGTTCGGGTCCCAGTACCCTCAGGATGGCTAACAACCAACCATAATTTTAGTCCCAGGGGATCCAACACCCTCTTCTGGCCTCTGCAAGCACTGCAAAACATGGGTGGACTTACATGTATATAAAACAGGCATACACATAAAATATGATAAAATTAAAAACATAGTTATATTTGAAACACAGTTTTAAATATAGCTGGAGCCAGCTGTTAAAAATTAGAGCAAAAAGCATCTGATGCTTTTACTGTGTACCACTTGGGAGTAAATTCAGAGGGCTCTGTAAAGAACATCACCAATGCCCAATAGCTGCACCAAAGGGTAAGGTGCAGCTCCCTGGGTAGCAATCAAAGACATTCAAACCGTTCTGGTTTTGAGAATCAGTGAAGCAGCAGCAGCTCCTAGAACCAGGACACAGTTCTTGGTGAGATCAAGCACCATGTGTTCTCTAGATAGGAGCCGAGTCTGAATTCTATGCCAAACTGAACTTATTCTAATAATGTCACCATACAGCCCAGACAGAATAAAGTTAACTGTTTGGGTCACACTTACGCCGTGAAATCTGCAGCTGCTGTAGCGGCTTTTGTGGCATCCTTATTCAATGTTGCGCCCCAAACAGCACCTTTATGACCCAGAAAGGTTCCAATCCAGTCTCCTGTATCTCCCTGGCGTAACATAGGTTTGCCATCTAAAAAACAAGTGTAAGAGACATGAGATTTAGAAGCGCACAACTTGCAACCTAAGAGGCAAGCCTAAAATCACACTGAATAGCAAAGCGGAAAACTGGTTTTGTTCTAACTATTCTCACTGTCCTTAAACAATGGGGAGTCGTTTGGTCTAGTCCTGATGACCGAACTAAGCAACATCCAGAAATAATGACTCAGGAGCTCACCTGGTCATTCTTACCAGGAAGTATCTGAGACTCGGGGATCAGATCAGCGGCCTGGTTCATCTTTGCAAACACTGATTTAAAAACAACCCAAAGGCGGGATGCCACTGATCTGCGTCCAGACCATCTAGATACGCGTTTTCATTCTGGACCAACTAAACCGACTCCTATTTTCCTAGCTGAAAAACGAGGCTAACACCACAAAGGAGGATACAATGGGGTGAGTACAATGACACACAGAGCCCTGCTCTCTGCCTGGCCTAGTATCTCCTTCCCAGGCATCCTGCGAAGATGCGACGGTGAAGTTCGGCGTGCAGAAGGTGCGGGGCGGGTTCTTCGGAATTAGCATCGAAAACCAGGAGAGGCGCCGGTTGGGGGTGGGAGGAGCTGCCGAGGGGCGTGGGAAAGGAGGCCTCCGCGCCCCCGCGCCCGGCCCGGCCCGGACTCACCTTTGCAGGCGCTGATTAAAAAGTAACCGTAGGGCGTGATGCCGCTGAAGGCCAGATCCACCACGGGCCGCGTGTGGCCCGAGCAGGTGAGCGGCGTCTGCCTCATGGCCATGGCGGCGGCGGCGAGCGCGGCGATCCTGAGGGCAGCCCGAGGGTCGTAGTCCTTCGCCGCGGCACCTCAGGCTCCACAAGGCCGCCCGCGCTGGCGCTGGGGTCGGGCCGGGCAGAGCAACGGAGGCCGAGGCTGCGGGACGCTGCCAGGCCTGGACCGGAAGTCGGCGAAGGAAACGGCGGCCGAGGGAGAGGGAGGGAGGGAGGGAGGGAGAAGGGAAGGGGGACTGCTGGGAAGCCGGCCCGCCACGACTCGCACCGTCCACACCGGTAACGGCAGGAAGTGACGACGTGCCGAGGCGCAGCATCCTCCGGAAGTGACGAACGGCGGGTAGACGGGCGCTCCTGTTAGAAAAAAAAAGGGGGATGGCTAATGAATGGAATGCGCATGCGCGCGCTAGCTGTCGCGGGGCTTGTGTTGCTGACAGTACGCGGGCCGCCTCCCGCGCATGCTCAGTGCTGCAGTCCGCTTAGCCGGGTCTGTCTGATCCCGGTAAGCTTTAGCCGAGTCCGTAGGTGTTAAAGGTGTTGCCATGCTCTAGGCAGGGTGGTCTACCCGCCGAGGTCCACACAGCCCGGAGCCCTGCCCAGGGCAGCCCAGACCCGCAAATGGAGCCTAATTTTGGATTTTATTGAACGATGTTATTGGAAAATGTATATATGCAGCTCCACTGGGACTAAGATCCTTAGGAAAAGTAACTTTTCACATTTGTATTCCCAGCTCCTGGGATGCTGAGGCAGGAGGATTGCTGCGTATTCGAGGGCAGCCTGAGCTACTTATCAAGATTTTTGTCTCAGTAAAAACAATTCTTAAAGTAATTGCCACAGACATCCCTGCTTATTGCTAGTATGTCAGACATGAATACGGTGTGGCTTTAAATGCAATTAAATTCGGTTTTTGTTTTTTTTTTGAAGGGCTAGTATAGAAGACTCCCAATTTTTAAAATATTTGCGTCACTAAATTTTGAGCTCCCACTATATCGAAAATAATTCCAAAAATTCAATACATGCCCACTACAATGCATAGAAACACTAAAGGACTTTAGAAGGTAAACATTACTCAAAACTAGTGTTGTCCTGCAGGCAGCTTGCTCAGATCAGACTATCTGACAAACAGCTATTCTGAAATAAGACATTAAACAAGAAGCAGGAAAGTCCATCTCTGGGTGTTTGGGGGTGGGTGGGTGTGGGGTGGTGGTAAGACATTTTTGTGTGTGTTCTCTTCTTTATGCCTGCCACTGTACCAGGGCAGGGAATTTTGTACTAATAAATATTTAGTCCATACAAATGTCTGCAAATGTTTTCATCTCTTTTTTCATCAGACTATTCAAGATTAAAGTCACAACAGTGGTGGCAGTCTGAGGCTGGCAGGATCACTGTGAGTTCAAGGCCAGCCTGAGCTGTATGATGAGACCTTGTCTCAAAAGCAAAATATCTTGAATGGCAACTTGAAATACGCCTCGGTACTATTTCTGTCATACATTTATTTTACATGCTGCAGTGCGTCTGTGGAAGGACAGAGGGCAATTTGTGAGAGTTGGTTCTCTCCTTCCATTGTGTTTACTACAGTGATTTATTTTTTTCAAAAAAAAAATATATATATTTTTGTCTTTTTGAGACAGGGTCTCCCTGTAGCCCCAGCTGGCCTGAAATTCGCTATGTAGACTGGGCTGGCCTCGAACTCACAGAGATCTACCTGACTCTGCTTCCCTAGTGCAGTGATTAGATGCATGTGCCACGATGCCTGGCTAACTACAATGATTTTAATGATATCACACACATGCATTTTCATGACTATCTTTAATATTTAATGTAACTATAGGCAGAATTCTAAGAAAGCCCTAAAAAGTCCTGGTATAAACACCCTGCACAATCTGTGCCTTTTGAGTGTAGACAGAGTTGTGTGTATGATGAGAATAAACTATTTGGATGAGATTCCACTCGGTGAGAAGGTGGTGGGGAAGTCATCCCCATGATCATGAGGCATCATGTAGCAGACCACAGAGACTCTCTGCCCACAAGGCAGCATCTCACCATGCTGTGGGATGCACAAGCAGTTGAGAGCACTACCTAGATGAACTCAGCAAGAAAACAGGGACCTTACTGGTTAGGGTGGTTATCTGACAGACAACCTGAAGGAGTTTGCATATGATGTGGTGGTTTGGATGAGAGCGTCTCCCACAGGCTCCAAGTACTCAAAACATTTTGTCCCTAGTTAATGGCACTGTTTCAGGAGGTCTTAGAAGGTGTGGCCATCCTGGAGGAAGCAGTGCGGTTCTTTTTGTTTCTCCTTTCTCATTGGGCCTCGTTTTGGACTTTACAAATTTGGCTGGAAGAGTGAATGTGCATTTATGATATGGGATACAGTAAGCTGCTTTTGCTGTGAGAAATCTCAAGTACATCAGGTGAGGAGATGTGAGGGGCCCCTACAGTAGTGGTTTTTCTTTGGATTAAAAAAAAGTATTACATTTGTTTATTTAGCGCATGTGCGTGCATACATGCATACCTGTGTTTATGCGGGTGTGAAGCCCATAGCACACATGTGGCAATCAGGACAACCTGAGGGGTTGAGTTCTCTCAACCATGTGGTTTCTGGGGATACAGCTCTGGTTGTAGGCTCAGTTTCAAATGTCTTTACCCATTGAACCACCCATTTCTTTGGATTAAAAAAATGTAAAGTTCTGAGTCATGGTCTCTTGTATCCCACATTGAACTCAAACTTGCTATCATAAGGATGGCCTTGAACTTCTGATCCTCCTGCTTCCACCTCCCAAGTGCTGAGATTACAGGTGTGTGCCTCCATATCTGGTGTATGTAGCATCTGGAGATGGAATCTGTGCTGGATAGCTTTAGTGTCAACTTGACACACCTGGGTTGAGGGAGCCTCAATTGGGGAATTTCCTCTATTGGGTGGGCCTGTGGCCATGTCTGAGGGGCATCTTCTTGATGAGTGATGTGGGAGGGTCCAGCCCACTGTGGGTGGTGCCACCCCTGGGCAGGTGGGCCTGTGTTGCATAAGAAAGCAGGCTGAGCAGGGGCCAGGGGAGCAAGCCAATAAGCAGCATTCCTCCATGGCCTGTGCTCCAGCTCCTGCCTCCAGGTTCCTGCCCTGAGTTCCTACCTTGGCCTCCCAGATGAACCGTGACCTGGGATGAACTGTGGCAGCTAAATAAACCCTTTCCTCCCCAAGTTGATATTGGTCAGAGTGTTTTGTCACAGACATGGAGAAACAGACTAGGACAGAATCTAAAGTCTCATCTATGTCAGGCAAGCACTCTACCAAGTGTGATACATCCACAACCCTTTTTCTTTTGGTTTTTGAGGCAAGATATCATGTAGCTGAAGTTGGCTTTTAACTCTTGATCCTCCTGCCTCCACCTAAGTCAGCTGAGTGTTTTTGTTGAAAAGATTAGCTCTCATTTTTTAATGGAAGTGACAGAGATAGAAACAGAGATAGTGGGATAAAATGAGATCCCTTTTCACCATCATTCCTCACACAACCCTGAGAGGGAATATTACATTGTCAGGATGAATCTATGTGAGGCCTGCATCCACTATCTCTGAATAATTCGCAGGTGTGCTTTCCAACTACAGTGATTCTACTAATAGAGACAGGCCAAGGAAAAAGCCAGAAGGCCCTTATTCTTGAATTCTGTGGTTATTATTTCCTGAGAAATGTTATCATCAATATGAATATTATACTTCTCATTTATGAGGCTGGCTTGTGTCCTGAGGAGAAAATCATGGTGGTGAATTGCCTTGGTCCTTGACAGGTCAGGTGGGAAACAGCAGCCCTCTTGGAAGAAGATAGCAGCCTGGAGACAGAATATTTAGCACCTGTAAGACCAGAACCAGCAGGAATCCTTTAGTGAACCTCTGTGCATCTCTGGCAGTATGGGGCCAGGAAAACTCCATCATCACCTTAGACAAAGCCCGTGCCCTTTAATCACACAGGGCGATTTATCCTTTCTATTCCTCGTGTGAAGAGAAGTAGGGCTGCTTGAGTGAGGTTTGCAGGAAGGTTAGGGAGTGAGAAGGTAAGAATTTAGAAACTAGAAGCAAGGGGTCACCATCTGAAGGCTAAAGCCTGAGGGTTCGCTGTTTCCTCAGTCCACTGTGTGGGAAAAGCAAAGGATTGAGCACTAGAGTTTTAGCTCAGTGCTAGAGCCTTTGCCTAGCACACACGAAGCTGTGGGTTTAAACTTTAGAACAATGAGGGAAGTGGGGGAGGGGGAGTCACAACTTCCAGGCTCCTCTACACCGAGTGGGAATGATCATTTCACTGCACAGTGAAGGCAGCTGTGTAACTCAATTGTAGCGCCTTGTTTATTTAGGCTGTTGATAGAGTGATGCTTCTTAGAAAAGCAGTCAGGCCATCGACTCTGTGGTCGAATCAGAAGGCATTTGAGTAGAGAGATCTTTATACAAATAGTACTAATATAGATAATGACACTACTAGACATGGACAAGATATTTAGAAAAGGGCAAAGAGAAATACACCCAATGTGTTTGTACCACTGGTGATGATCTAAAGGAAAATGGTAGCTTTGCAATTAACACACATCCATGCCTCACACACATCCAGCTCAAGTGAACATCCAGGTCACTCAAATGGAGGAAATAGCAACTTTAGCAGGTTATAGCCCCACTCTCTCAAAAGAGAAAAAATGTTAGACACTTAGGGCAGAAGTCTGTAGCCCAGACATCTGAGGAGCACAAAAAGATATTCGATGCCTGTGCTTGCAAAGGATGTTGATTTTGGTTCTGCAGGTGTTGAAAAGAACTGAAAACTGAATGACTGCTGTAGAAAGAGAGCAGACCTGGAGAGTTGGCTCAACAGTTAAGAGTACTGGCTGTTCTTGCAGAGGACCTGGGTTTGATTCCTAGCATCTACATGACTGTTAACACCCATCTCTGACTCCAGACCCAGGGGAGCCAATGCCGTCTTCTGAACTCCATGGACATTGCACAACATGGATGCACTTATACATGCAGGCAATATAATCATACACATAAAATAAAAAAATAAATAAAAATAAAAAAGTAAATAAAATATTAAAAACAGAACTGATTGCTACAGAGGTAAAAACCTGGGGGTTCTTAGTAGAACACAGGTGAACTGGAAGTCATGCAGAAGCTGGCCAGAAAGGCCAAGCCCCCTTCTGCCTCCCTCCGGTATCACCCTCTTGCATCTCCTCCAGTACACACTAACAGAATCTAGAGAGGCAAGATTGGGGTTTTCAGGATAGAGAGATGGCTCAGTCAGTAAAGTGCTTGCT